ATGAGAGATCTGGGGCAAGAGTGAACTGTGTTATGAACTGTGCACAAAAATACTATTTCTAATGGCTAGACTCTTCCTTTGCCTGGAATTTGTACATATTAATAAATAAATAAATAAACAAATAAATAAATAAATAGATAAATAAATAAATAAATAAGTAAATAGATAAATAGATAAATAGATAGATAAATAAATAAAATATTGGCACATGACTGATTCCTAATATTTCAGAACAGAGAAAAATACAATTCTTGATAAAGAGGAATATTTTTTTTCCCTATCAACACAAGCTACCATCCTCTTTTTTACATTTGGGAAGATCTGAGCAAAGAGAAGGTAATTTTTTTGTCAGAATTCGGTGAATCATTATGTTAAACTGAAGGATATAAAGGTCTGGGTACAGGAAACAACACTGTACTCTGCCACTGTTATATTTTTCAGGCACTACTGACATCACTGGACTAAGTGGCTATACTGATAGAATGATTGCAATATGAAAAGGTCGATTTTATTCCTAAAACGTCCAGGAGAATTTTCTTCCTTCATCTTCCCCATTCCTATAAATGTGACTAATTTTGGTGAGGCAGGTTCAGGACCCACTGAATGAAATGAAGCATAATAAGTCACAAAAGTAAGATGTCCTTAAACAAGGATTAAATGCTGGTTTTCACTACAAGATGACTTTACTGCTCCCATTTGTTTTATGAAAACACAAGCTTCGCTTTACTATTAGTCAGTCTCTGAGCAATCATTAGGTACCACTGAACCAGATCCTTGTGCGGTTTGACAAACCTTCACTTTTGGGATAGGATAAGAATTTGATTTGGCTTAGCTATTTTGAAATCAATGTGTGCTGTCAGACCCTGAACAGCACACTTCTGCACAATATGCAGAACATAAAATATAGGTTTAGTAGGCCTGGTTTTCTATTGCATTTCATCAGCATTATAAACATACACTAGGGCAAAGCCAGAGTCAAACGGTTGAATCAGCCTCCTTGTGCCCAATGGAAATAACCCACTTCTTTGCAAAAATCTGCAGAAAGCTTTCTACATGATATCATATTTCTCCTTACTGGCACTCTTTAACCCTTTCTTCTGTGACCAATATCCAGTAATAGAGGAGTTCTTTGATAACATTGGCTGTTGTAGTACACTTTTCCCTTCCTTCTTTTTCTTTTGTTTTTCAAGGGTTTGGGTTTGTGTCTGTGTGGCTTTTTTTTTGTTTTTTTTTTTCCTAATTCCACTCTGAAAACAATTTCTGCGTGTTCAGTGGAGTCACTGTAATTTTTGCTCAGTGCTTTAAGGTTCATCCTTCTCTCCCAGAATTTTCCATCTAGGAAGACAGGATCTGAGATTCCTCCTGTGTTTCATTTAGTCAGCCTTTCAGACTAGTTCACCACTGCTGTGTGTGTGAGGGAGCAAATGAAACTGAGCATGAGCTTCATGATTACTACTTACCTAACAAGACTAGTTTTCAAATTTTCTGCAAGAACAACTGATTAGACTCCATGAAAACATTTTATTCCTGTAAAATTCTCTACAGACACTGAGAAAAAGAGCAAACAAGCCAGAAAGCCTTGAGGGTGAAAAAGGTATCAGGAACACAGGTTTTCTGCCAGGAGAGTTCCCGGGTGACAGGCAACCTGGGCTTGTTGTGCTATTTCTAAGACAGGCAGGCAGCTTGCTGAGTCAGTACTCATTCAGTGTCCTTCAAGAATGAATTGAAAGAAGTGAAGAATATACTTTGCTTCCTCAGTAGGATTTTTTTTTTTTTTCCTGAAACTGTTTTGAGCATCTTTGGCTGGAAGAAATAGAGACAACAACCATTATCACATAAAAGCAAGACCACTTCCTCCGGGACAAACACCACAGGTATATGGGTCAAAATGGCAGCTGGAAGTCCTTTCAAACACATGAGCTTTTAATAGGCAGTCTCAGAATAATTGCAGAAGGTTTGTACCAGACCACCTGGAAACAAGATTCAGCTATTTACCAGTAAGGTTAAGGCACTTCTGCCTAACCTTTATTACAGGAATTTTACACAGCTTGATTTATTCTGGGATGAGATAACAAGACTCATATATGAGGTTTTCAGGAGACTTCATTCAGCTGTTTTCCAAATAAGATCTGTACTGTTAATATTGTTGTAAATGCACGTTAATTACCCAGGAACCTTAGACGTATTTGGTAAAGTTGGTTGTCACAGCAGTTGTTGCTATGCTATGTGGTCTGTTTTGCATTTAGCTTTTTGGTATGGTAATATTACAAAATAGCATACTCACTGTGGGGAGAAAAAAACCAACCCACCAAGCCTCTTTCTTCCTAATATGGTGAAATAAAAGGCCTTGGTCTGAGCTAGCTGAAGTGCTGATGGAGTCAAAGCCCAAGGATCAGTCTGGTGTGGCGCATGAAGAGAACGAGGGTCATGGTTAAGATTGACACTGGGAGGGAAGGAAATGTTTAAATTCCCTGATCATGACTAAATAATGGGAGCCAGTGACGCTATCAGGGAAAAAGCCCTCTTCTCGTCCCAGCACGTGTTTGATTCCAGACTGGCGAGAACATTCCTTCCTACTATTGCTGGTGTGGGAGATCTGGGCTGTGCTATATAGCAGATGTAGAGACTTATTTCTCACAAAGGTTTATACTAAGCAGGGATATGAATTGCAGAGTGGGCAGCAGCATGGAGGTCTGGGGCAGAGCCCTGAGCTAAAGAGGAGGCTGGTGAGGGACTGCACACCTGACACCAGGCCTTGGCGGCTCTCTCTGCTTCTATATTGCCCAGTGAGAAGGGGCCCCAAATGCCGTTAGAGGGCCAGGGAGTTTTGCCTTTTTCCTTATTTGTGTTCACTATCACCTTTCAAACAAAAGAGCGCAGTGTTTCACAACAGTGAGCAATTGGCCAGCAGGAGCTCTTTCCCCTGTCCCTACCGGCTCGCAGCTGGAGACATGAGGTTTTGGGGCTGTTTCTCCAGGGTTCTGTTCCTTCTGGTAAAAACTTCTCCTCAGGGATCCTTGGTACAGTATTAACTCATGATATTTAAGTCCCATGAGACTTGTTTTTTTTCCTTTTACTTGCTGATGCAGGGAAGAGATAGGTGAATTCATAAAACAATAGGGACTAACATGTCCAGATACATAACTCCAGTAATTATGATTTATCAGGTACCCCAGTCATCTGAGGCTTTGCAAACAAAAGACAACTGAAACACTCGTGTCTCCCCAGAGGGAAAGCTACATGGAAAGCACTCAAATAGCTTTAACCACATTTGTGTCAGAAATTCTTCTCAGATTTGGTGACTGTGGCTTGTTCTAATTAAAATAGTAACAGTTTCAACACTATGTTTAAAAGCAAACAATTATTTGCTGTTTATGAGGGGAAAAAGGATAGAAAATGAAGATAGCATTTCTCTTCCTGGAGGTCATGTCTCCACAACACCAAAGAACATTTTCTTCTGCTGAAATATTGTCACTCATCAGAAAGCTTTGCTTCCCAGAAGCTGACCAGGAGCATGGGCAGGTTGGGCAGCCGAATCATCCATATTACACCTCCTTGTGTTCAGAAAGATGTAAAGGCCTCAGCTTTGCCTTTTTAAAGCACTGATAATGTCCACAGCTGGATCTGTTGTGCCTCAGTGTTTCCACAACAGCTCACCGACGTTGGGCTCAGACCTAACCCAGAAGGGGTTGCCTGAGACCACCCAGACAAAGCAAGGAGGCTCAGGGAAGCAGCCAGAGGATGCAGCAGAGGTAGCAGTGTAAAGGGGAGAAGCATGTCCAGTCAGCTTTATTAAATAATTTACTGTTTATATTTCCATTATGAAAACTCTGACAAGGAGGGAAATACTGAAAAGGAAGTACCTTTTTTTTTAGAGGAGTAAAAGTGATGCTTGTGGTTTTAAACAAAGGCCTGTTGTGAGGATGATGCCATAAAGAAAAGGAAGAGAAAGGGAAACTTCATTTGAATCAATTCAGATAAGAGAAGGCCAGAAGACCTTATGACAGAATTTTCCATTAATTCTTGTAGTCTAGCTCTCTGCCATTATGTTACCTCCTGACTCTTTTGTACAAATATTGTTGTGGTTATTATTACTGTTTACTGTAACTAATCTAATTACACTTACAAAACTTGCTTATAGTATTGCAGCCATAATAATGCAAAAGAGCAAAGTCAGACAAGACTTTTGTGGTGGGTGTTTTATAAGAATTTGAATGAACTCGTATAACTGTCTTCAGCTGTGAGAATTTACAGTGGGAGAAGACAAGAATAAAGGAGTAAGGAACAAACTACTTTGTTTTGTTTCAATCACTGTATTGAATCATAACTTGAAATTTGACTTTTAGTGAATTATAAATTTTTTTGAACCTGTGATCAAAACCTTTTGTTTGACCTAAGCCATATTATTTCATTTTAAAGACAAATTTTCTTAAGGTTTCTTCTATTTTAATTTAATTTTTAAAAAAATAATTATTTTTAAGACTTTTCAAATAAAAGGTAATTATTCTTCTGAATTAGAAGAATTTCAAGTTCTTAATTATTTTCTGGAGCCAAGATGAGTTTGTAAAATGTTTTAGGGCTCCCAAGTCTGATTATTTTTCTCCAAAGAAGCTTACACTGGAGCATTTCAGTCAGTAAGTGAAACAGGAAAGGACATAAAGAGAAACTGAGGCACATATATGTTTTTATAATACTTTTACAGCGTCTCATAGATGGATATCAGTGTCAGAAATAGAAATTGCATCTTCTGAGTCCCCCTCTATGGTGTAAAACACTAAAGGACATTAAAGAAGTAAATTATTAGATGCAAATAAATTTCCAGCCATAACTGTTACAAGCAAGATCATAAAGATCACCAGAACTGTGCACTTTGCCTCCAACATCTTGTTCTCTGCTCCCTAGTACAGTCACGAGTGAAGCCGTAGTTGCATTTTCTGTCTGCATGGTACAAGTTAGCATGGTAGAAAGGTATATTTATTTTCATCGCTATCTCTTTCCAGAAAGTCTCTCCCTCGTTGTCGAAGAATTAACAGGATGCTTTCCAATGAGTCGACACCTCCTCCTGCGTTCAGTCGCTCCAACTCACAGGCCTCCATGGACAGCACCTCCATGGAGGACTTCTGGTGTGAAGTGGAGAGCATCAAGGAGAGCAGTGAAGATGGATCTGAAGAAGCAACACTCTTGGAGTTCAAACCCGCTGATGGTGAGCACACAAACATCTCTTCTTCCTCATACCTGGGCTTTGCCTCATCTCTTTAGTCATGCTCTGAACTTCCTCCTCATGTCAGCCAGTATGAGCAAAAGTACTAGGTCGGGTCTATGATCATTGCAGCTCCACTTCTGAACATCACACTGAATTTACAAGCCATCACTGGAAAGAAACTATAATTCGGTCTGGTTTATGCACTGGGGCTGGTAATTGACTTCTGAAATAAGGTTTTTTGCACTGATTTGATTTGTGCTTCAGGAGAACAGATATGATATAATTCAGAAAAGAGAGGCACTAAATGAAAACTTCATCTTCAACATTAAATAAACTAAACAAAAACATAGAAAAGGACCAAAATGTTCATTTAGTATACTGGAATTTTAAATTTTCTGGCTTTTGGTAGAATATAATAAAGAAGTTAAGAAAGTCTTGAAGCAATTTTTAGCTAGATATCATTTGGTACTGTCAGTAATTTGATAACTGACCATTTCTCTGAGATTGCCCAGTTTAGATATAATTCAAGGACAGACTAGAGATAAGCCTGAATATATGGATGCCTACATCATTCAGACTCACCAGTTGTCAAAATTAATTCATCACTTATACAAATTATTCTGAAGATTACTACCTCATTCTGTTACCCTAATGTTTTTCCCTCTTTTTTCCATAATGTATTTGGAAAAACATGTAATAGTCTGCACTAGTTTGTTTCAGTACAGCTTTGTTAAATAATTTGATAACATCAAGAACAGCAGTTCTTGTTCTTTCCAGTTATGACCCCACTTACAAATGCATTATATTGTGCAACACAAAATACCAGGTGTTACTATAGGATGAAACTGAATTTCTTTTGAGGTCATTACCCACCGATAACTGCTGCAACCCTTTTGTGGATCATAGCCACTAGCCTGATAACTGCTGATCTAGGGATAGATTTTGAAGCAATGGTGTGTTCTTTCCATACAATTATTAACACGCATGATGATGTATTTTTCTTACCTTGACGTGAAATGGGATGTCGTTAACTCTGCTACCAGGAAAAAGGGTGAAAAGGGGGAAAAAGTACTACTTTATTAAGCAACCAAATATGTAATCAGTCATGATAAGTATCCCACACAGAGGTATCTAGATCCAATCATGTACCGGTTCCATGGGGAACGCCTCCCACTCACTGGTTCCCAGTAGGGCTGTCCTGGAAGCAGAAGGAGAAGAATCCATTCATCAGAAGTCCTGGTCTGCTGTGAGGGTTATGGTCTGACATCTTAAATCCAAACTGCACTTCTTTGTGCTGGCCTGTGGTCTCAAATAAAAATAGATCAAGGTGTAACATTGAAACTTTATGGCTATTGTTATGGGAAGGCAGAAAAGCAATCTGCCTCAATCAGTTTGACCTTATTGGGAAAATTCCTGTCTGATCATGCTCTCCAGCTTGGAGACCCCAGATAGAGTTTGTGAATCTCTTAGTGTCTTCTTCATTCAATTGTCAGTGTGAACTGGGTGTCCCTGATTGGCCTGTACAGTCTGTGGAACGTCACATATCTGTGAGTTACCAAGCTGGGTAAGTTAGTAGGACAAGGCAACACAGGGGCCCACTTTCCATGTTCTCAGAAACTTTTCCATCAGTTTCATCACTGCTGAACTAAATCTTCACAACAGTGCAAACTCTGCTGCAGTCCCATGCTACCTTTTGTCTGATTACACCTCATTACATTGCATTGATTTTTTCCTCTCTGTCCTGAATTAAAAACTGTCAGGTAAAATGCAATACATCTCCACACTTCATTTACCTTCATACTGTTGTTTTAAACACATATATAGTGCATACACCCACGCACAACCAGGCCGTGCTTGTCCTACTTATTAACTTCAGGAATATATTCAGTCTGGGATTATAAATCTTGGAAATAATAGTGAGTTCTATTATGCTTCTAATAGGATAATACTCCTTGCTGAGGATCAAAACACTAAAAATCAGTGTGGAAGTCCTCAGGGCAAAATGAAAACAAATATTCATCACCCTTTTGAGATGTCTTTGAGAGGAAGAGATGCAGAATGCTTAAGAAGGAAGACAAAGGGTGATAGCAACCAGGCACCACTGATATTGTCGAAACCACGGTGCTTTTTTTTTGCCAGACCGCAAGTGCAAGGGGAAGACATTAGCACACTTACTCTGTTGACATTAGTAGCTATGGTAAGTAGAAAAAACAGAAGATCTTAACAAGTGATACAAGAGATGAAAATGTAGGGGAAGAGGAAGTCATGGGGTATTTAAGATGGCAGTGATGTGCAGAACTGCTTTAAAACTTGGTGTTAAAAGGCTGGGATGCTGTGAGTTATTTGAGGTTATATCTGAAATTCAAAGAGAGGCACACCTCTTTCCTAGAAATCTCTATGAGAAAAAGAGAATTACCAACCAGAGGGAACCCTCTCAATTATCTGTTTGTCTTATCTGGTGGCACAGAATCAAACACAGTATCAAGACCCTGCTGTATATGTAGCTACCACTATAAAAATGTTTTGTAAACAAACGTAGTGGGTTTTTTAGCCCTTATTTAAACTTATACGTCATAAAATTTTGAGGGGTTATTTAATGCAGCAATTCCTTCTCTTTATTAGTTTTACTCCTCTGGTTGTTGTCGTTATTTCTTAGTCTATTGTTTGTCAATGGTTGGAACAGGAAAAAGGCAAAAGCCAGAGGAAACGAGTCACAGGGATAGCTGGTAAGCAGACAGAATTTCATGTATGCTCTGCTATTTTTTATAGCATCATAAAAGCCAAATTTGATTAAAGAATAAATTATTCAAAATAATATGTCACGACAAAAGCCAAAATGAATATAATTAAGAAACAGAAACATGAATGGATGTGGCTAGAACAGCAGCACACGGAAATGAGAAGAGACCTTAGAAAGAAGAGTGAGGATGGCAGAAGAACCATTGGTTCAAAGCTTACAAAGAAGGGAAAGGAACAGCCTGCCATCCTATATGTGGATACAGAAAGGATCAGAGCGGAGACAAGCCACTTCATAGGATACAGGGCTGGTCACACCCCTGTCTAACATAGAGCAGGGGCTTTAGAATTAGATATTTTTGTAGAGCTTTGTAAAGAGACAAGACAGTTAACAATCAAGTCAGTGATGGCAAATGTGTAAGATGATTTCACTTGTCCCTATGTCCAGGCCCATAATTTTCATTTTTGTGTATCTAACTGCCAAAGTGCAGCAGACTGGTATCTATCAATCTGCCTGCATTCTGATGTCAAGAAGAGGCAATAAAGGAAGAGTAGAAATACCAACCTGACATTAAGTCCAGTTCTGGGACAAGAACAATATCTGCATTGACTAGTTGTTTTATAGAACATGCTGCAAATTAACCCATTTCCTGTTTGACCTGTTTATTTGTAATACCTCTTCTTCAGTCAAAGCTGGAATGCAATTATTGTCTTCTCTCAAGCAGCATATTGCTGAGCTAAGATTGTTCACAGAAACAAAATGAAGGCCCTCAAAATCTCCTAGATGAAGAGAGATTTTAAAAGACCATGACTGTATACTTTAAAAAGCAGACAAATAAAAAAAGCAATTACAACAAAATTTAAAGTTACTAAATGATTTAGAGAAGGTAGATTGGGAGCTTCTCCCTGTCCTACAGTAACAGGGGATATTAATTTAATATAACAGATAGCAAGCTGAAACCTTGTATTGGCTTTGCATGTCAAGGTTATGGTAGTGGGGGGGCTGCAGGTGTATCGCTGTGAGAAGATGCCAGAAGTTTGTCCCATGTCAGATAGACCCAGGAAAAAAAATACCTTTTCACACAATGCATGATCTCACTATGGAGCCAGTTGTGGTGTTGAACAGGACTCAAGAAGATATTACTCATTAATCAAGATACCAAGAAACTCTGGGGTGTAGAGTGCTAGCCAGTCTTTAATTATTTGAAATCAGATGATACCTAGCATGCAAGAATATCTATTGCTGCATCTTCCACCCCTACCTGACCTCTTTGACACCTACCCATACCTGACCCTTGCTCTTTAGCGAGCAGCTTCAGCTCTTAATCGGTTTTTTCAAAAAAGGCTATTGGACTAAGTGGACATCAAGCTTCTGTCAGTGTGGCATCTTCACTAGTTGTCCGATTATCACCTGACTCCCTGGCATCTCAAATCACATCCTTAGTGTGCAAATACATTATTCTATTGTATATGCCACTTCACTATTTTTGCTTATTTTAATTGGAATACCAATTTAATTTCCAGTTGTCAAGTGTCTTCATCCGATACAACATAGTATAAATGGTAATCAAGGGGATTTATGCTCTTAAATGAAGGGTTAGTTTTTAGTGACCTTGTGTCAGGGTAGTTACTCTACTGCCTTCTTCACATGAGTATGCTGATGCACAGGTTCAAAACGCCTCTTCTGTTCTTCTAAGCCTCTCCTGTGCAGACACTGCCAAACTGAAAGTTGACGGTATGTTAACAAATCTAAATTAACTTACACTTGTGTCCTTAGAAAGATTGGAAATGGAGTCTTCTCAAGGTAAAGGCTAAGGCAGCAGTCCACCATGTCACTTCCCTTGCCAGGTCTGGTAATGTGCTCTCTTCTTCTGCAGAAGGGGAGCTGGAGGCAGAATGGCTGCAAGATGTAGGTTTATCTACATTGATCTCGGGAGCTGAAGAGGAGGACGGCCAAGCCCTACTGTCCACTCTGACCCGAACCCAAGCTGCTGCCGTACAGAAGAGGTACAACACCTACACTCAGACCCTCAGGAAGAAGAACAAGCACACAGTCCGGGATGTGCGAGACATCTTTGGCACCAATGACTCTTCTGTAAGTAGATAATGCATCCTAGTGAATGCTTTTGAGCTTAGTTTTTTACGCATTTTACAAGTAGCTTATCAAAGCTTCTACCAGACAAGAACCATTTTCTGCTGACAATGTATAGACAGCCAGTAGCAGTTCCTGAGCCTAAGTCCAGACTTTTAATGCTCTATTTATAACATTTTAAGAGAAAAAGAAGAAATCAATTAAAATGGATGGTGCACAGTTTTGCAAATAACCTGTAACATAATGTTGTATTTGTTGCCAGCCTTCCTCCTCCAATCTCCTATCAAGACTAACATTTACTCCTTTATTTTTTCAAAATTGGTGAGTTACTCTTGGCAGCTATTCAAATTTTTGCTGGCTTCTGGGGACACTTGCTATTTACTCAGCAGTCTCAGCAGTGAAGTAAAACTTATCTAATGAAGCAAGTGGGGTTCAAATATGCATAAGCAATTAAACACCTGCCGGCATGATTGCAATGGGTACACTGGCAGTTACATTTCACTTATGTAGCAAATGAAAATCTATTAACTGTTCATTTGCTTCACGGCTTCAGAAATGAGCATTACCTTTGGTGGTTTCATCCCCTTTTCCCTGAGGATAGCTCTAAATGCACAAATTCCTATCCTCACACATTTTGATGAATGCAGTCAAATGTGTGAGTTTAGTCCAATGCTCAAAACAACATGCATGACTTTATATATGTCAGTCATGATGTCTTAAATGGGAGTCGCCAGTAAGCTCACAAGCTTTGAAATTAATACTAAAGTTCTTGCCATTACAAAACTCAAAGAAACTCTTTTTCACTATGAAATTGCTTTGTCATTTTCTATTTGTCCTACCTTCTCCTCAAGGCTTGACATCCTGGATGAATTTAAAACAAAAAATTGGGAAACAAAATAGTAGCTGCATAATTATATTAAAATTACAAAGATATAGTGGTTGGGGAGTTAAATTATTTGTCTCCAGTTTAAGTATCTGGGCTCTTTGGAACCTCTTACACATATTCCACAAACATATCCAGAAGCATCTAGTGGTTTCCTGTGGGCAAACTTTCTTGTATGAGAAATCATCAGGCATGTTTGCATGAACATTAAAAAGCTGATGGCAGTTCTTATTAGATTAGCACATTTCTCCTGATTCAAGTATCTGTAAACATTAATGTGTTTGAAATGTTTAAAAATTATAATAAAGCTTAAATTTCCTAGTAAACTTCAATCAACTAAATGAATATTGTGCCCATTCTCTCAGATAGGCACATTATTGATCTGGTTTTGACCTGATTATTTTTCACCTCTGTTTCTCACTTGCTAGAGGAATCAGGAGCTTCAGAGCCATTGCCCTTCAAATCACTGTTTTACCTCCTCTGAAATTCAGCTCACTTACTAGTTCTGCATTGTGAAAGTTTGAAAGATAAGACCAAATAAGTAATTAAGACTTCTAATTCTTCTTTCCACAAAAAATATGCTGTTCTGCAGGGTGCTTACCTAAACGTTAAACAAATACAGCTGCAGAGCACACCATCACCTCCCTCCAATGGGCTGCAAAACAGATTGTATTTCTAAAAGCCTGCAAGGTTCCCAATACCACTTTGACATTCCCATTGCTCTTATCTCTGCTGTTTATTATGGGATTTAGAAACTTCACCCTAATTACCAGCTCCTCAGGGATAAACACACTGCAGGGGAGATTGTGCCCTAACCTGGGGGTCTCCCGAGTAGTCCTTTCTCAGGGGGTATCAGCTGAAGCAGTCCTTCATGCTCTGCTACCTCTTCGGGCATGGCACTACAGCTGTCGATGAATCTTTATGATGAATCAGTTTGGGAAAGTGATCCACATTAAAAACAACCCAGCCAAAAAGGAAGAGCAACAGGGGACAGGGAGGGGCAAATTTTTTCAGCACAGCTGCTGAAGAGAGGCTGTTAAAAAGACTGCTTGAAATGACATGCAGTTTTGCTTTCCCATCCTGCTTTTTAGTTGGGAAGGCAAGAAGTAAATGTGTTGCAAATAGCAAAACAGCACTAATTGTTTCACATAACTTTATAATCCTCCCCATTAGGAGGATGGATTTACACCTTCCTCCCAACAACCTAAGCAGGAGCCTAGAGGGATGGGTCACAGGATGGATTACTCTAATCTGTGGCTAATGATGAGATAAAAGGTGATTAGCTCACTAGGGTCACCTGAGATGAGATTTAGGGGACTACTGAAGAGGCATAAATAGTTGTTATTCAGGGTTGGGAAGAGAGATTTGCCCTAGTTTCTTCTCTCTGTTCTGAAAAAAACTGCCTGCTAGACGTTTCACTATTACTGCCTGGTAGGCAGTTTCTGTGAGGGTCAGCACAGAGCAAAGGGTGGTTTTCTCTCATCCTGCCTTGAGGCCGATCCTCTCAGGGAAGGAGTGTTCCATCAACAGCCCTAGTGGACTGAAATGCAAGCCGTATTTCCTTTTTTTGTTTGCTCTCATATTTTGTTTTGTTTTGTTTTCTGTTGCCCACTCTGCAAAGGTGCCATGATCTCTGGGGGCAAAATGCAGCACCTGCGGTACCTTGCCCCTCAGAGAGTGTTGCCTTGCCGGAGCAGCTGGCCCCAGCTGAGGTGCCTCTGCTCTGCTTCAGACAAGCCTACTTACAGCAGGCTCTGCTGACAGCCACACTCCAAGATTTAAATTGGATGGTTTATTAATCACAGTGGCCTGATTTTCCTTATTGCTGGTGTCCCGCTGCTTCCATCAGAAGCTAGAGGTAATGCTAGTACTCAAAGTCTAGAATAATCAACAGCAAAGTAAAAATGGATGGGAAAACTGATTTTGTTATTGGAGGGAAGAAATGAAGCATTATGCTCATTAACAGCCTAACCCTGTACGTTATGATCACTCAAAACTCCTCAAGAGTTTTAGGAACATTTTACTTGAGAAATGCATGAGAAAATCATGACCTAATTAAAGAAGAATCACTAACAAACCCAGAGTTATTTGCATGAAAATGCGTTTGTGATGATAGTGCTTGGAAATATGAATATATCCAAAGCATGGGCAACTTGTACCCTAACCAGAGCTATAAGGCTATCTTCCTCTGACTATTTCCCTTAGCTGCAGGGCTGACAATAGAATTTGGTTGCTTTGGTGCTCCAATGCTTTGGTTTTACATCTTCTACAATCAAGGTAGTTACTAAAGAACTATCTACCTCATCTCTTGCTCTTCTGGTTTCCTCTTCCCATTGGAAATTTCTGTGTACACTGTGCTGGTAAACACTGGGCTCATTTTTAGTATCGGCTAATGAGAACTGTCTAATGAATCACTTTCAGTCAGAAATCAGGATATGAGAAGTCTTGCTTTCAAAGGAGTCCCAGCCAAATGAGTAAAGCTCTCCTGACTTAATTAAGAACACAATGTGACTCTTAACCTTTTACATTCATTAAGGCATGAGCCTCCAAAGTTTTTAAATCTTTTTTACTAAAGAAATAATCTAGATCTTTAAAATTCATGGATTAAAAAGTATTTTTTTCCAAGTCTTCCCTTTCTTTTTATCATAATATACTAATATTTAAAAAGCTGGGGGGAGGAGGTTGGTCCTGTTTGGAAGAGATTTTCACAAAAGAGACATAGATTTGGCTTCTTTATACACTCTCACTGTGGAGGCTGGGAAATAAGACCAAGAATATGACATTTTTAACTACCCCTGATGTTGTACACAATTCACATTATTCAACTGCCACTAGCTAAAGCATCCTGCAAGCTGTTGCAAGCACTGCTGGGTGCAAAGCAGGGCTGTATTGTCAGCTCCCCTCTGCCAGCTCCACTGTGCTTAGACGAACCCGATTACTGCAGCTGCTTCACTATTAATTTCACCTGTGTAACAAGGCTGGAAGGATGTTTTTCTTAATAAACTTGATTCATTGGAAATCTGTTCTGAATACTGTTCTCAGGTTCAGACACTTTGAGCAGTGAAAGTAGATGGGCCAGTTGTTAATATTTACCATTACTTTCTCCATCTGGATCTTAAGCAGTAGAATAACTACTTTAATGTTTGATTTTCCCAAATTGCTGTGGCAAGTTTAACCATCCCCTCCACTTCCATACTTCCACCTGAAATTTATCACGCTTTTTATGTCTTAAAACCCTCTGTGTAAATGTTAAAGGATTTTATCATGAAAAGATCCTAGAGTTCTCCTTTTAAAGTAATCAATGGTCCTTGTAGTCTTCTGGCAAAGGAAGTCCATGTGACTCAAATCCTGTTTGCTATCAAGTTCGTGGGCCATTGAATGGACTCTCTCAGGAGGGATTTCATTCATGTTACATTTGATTTTGTTACACAAATAGCTCAGAGAATAAGACTGAATAAAAGAACATCAACATTATTTCAGGCTTTCAATTGGAAGAGCTGCCTGTCTTTTAAATATCTGACATTTTTTAGCAGCCTAAATGCTGCTCCTGTGCTTTGGCTATGAATGGCGAAGAAAAAATTTCTGCCCTGAGTCATTGCTTGTTGATAAACAGCAATTTAAAGAGCAGCTATTGCATGCACATTGGGGCCCTCAGCTGTAGGTTCAACTAGAAAGCTGGGGCTGCTTCATCTGCTTAGGGAATGGAGAGGCAGCAGGTATGAGAAAGGAGGGGTTCCAAGGGCTCTCACCAGGATGCAAAGGGCAGCAGAAAAATTACAAAGCTGGTTTGGGACATTGTAGTTATTTTCACTGAGTACCATTTAGAGCATTTTTTAAATTCCTGACCTTTTTTTTTAAATGAAGAACATGCAGATAATCTGCTACTGCCACAGGTACACACACTCAGATTTGTCTTTATGAGTCCCAAATTCCTGAGAACAAGAGTAAAACTCCACTGCCAAGAAGAGGTGACAGTGGTTGCAAATCACCCTGTGGGCTTCTGAGCCCCTTCTCTGGTGTGCCACACACATTTCCTCCATTTTCACACAGTGCAGAATGATTTCTGGAGCAAAAATAAATTAATTTGACTATAGAAAAGGTCTTCTTTCCCTAAAACTGTTTTTGAAGTTCGCTGATAATTTGTTAGTACATAACCTATGGGAGAACATTCATCCATTAATAATTTCCTGATGCCTAAGTCCATAAAGGTGGTGAACAGCCTGATTTCTGGCAGGTGCTTGGGAGCAGTGGATATTCAATATGTGTCAGAGAGTCTTCAAAAAATTTGTGGCCAAAATGATTAAAAGCAAGATGGATTACAATTTGATGAGGACCTTTTGATTAGTGCAATTATGTACAGCAACTTACTTAGCTAATTTCAGTCATTATATAGGACAGAACTCATTAGCTACAGCAAGATGCAATATTACTGACCTCAACATGATCCAAATCTGTACAGCCTGGGGAAGATTAATTCTCAGGCTTGGCTATGAAAAATGTACTCTGGCGAATCACAACAGGTTGTTTAATCTTGGCAAAAGAGTGTAAGCTGAGAATGATATGCTATTGCTTGAACTGTAGCAGTTTCTGTCCATAGACGTTTACCTTCACTGCGGTCTGATCATTTTTCCTTGCCTATCAGCCCACATTTGAGACAGTTCCAGTGTCACCAGTTCCTTCTAATGGTATCCAGCTTCCTGGGCAGAAGCCAGTTTGGAAATCAGTTAGCTGTGAGTATGCCAACATGTAACCAGTGTTCACTTCCTCCTAGGAAAATGATAGACAGAAAGATCCTTTTGTGGTTCAGAGGTTAGTGCTCTCTTTCATGTTGGGGCCGTGCTACATATATTTTCTTAAAATCATTGTCAGCTTATTGTCATGAAGGAACCAAAGTTTCCCATTCAAAACCGGTGTTGTACAGACACAGACTGCTGCCCTTGAGGCATCAGTGTCTGAAAAGTACTGATCATTTCAAGGCTGGGAATGCAAAAAATAACCTCTAAACATCGTGGTGCAGAATTTGTCCAGCATATGTCAGCAGTGTATTTTCTTGTTGCAAATCATGACAAGAAAGATGCATATTTCCTTCACATTTCCTCTCTAGTACTGCAGAAACTGTAGTATTGGAAATTTACAATTTTTCTGGTTCTGCCTTATTATTCTGATCTACTAATGGTGTTATTTTGAACATCCCTTAAACACTTTGCCTTGACAGTGACTGGCAGTATTAATGAACACAATGGCTCTGCTCTACTCAGCATCTGGATAACAGTCAGCAGCCTTCCACAGGAATGTCCATCTTTTAATTTGAAATCTCTTCCCATCACCATTGTTCAGGGCTTAACTATTAATACTTGAGTTTCTAAACTAGTACCTTAGTTGTTTACCTCTGGATATAGTGCCACAGACATTTCCCTTGGTTCCAAAAGCTGCTCTGTTGATACGTCTGCTCTGCAAGCAGTTGTATGAGAACAGATGGGGAACCAAATGGCCAGAGGTACTACGGACATTCTGTGGTCCCAGGTCCAAAGGTGGAAAGAGAGATGGAAACTACTCTAAATGGTTTGGCCATTAGGTAATGTCTAAGGCCACAGTTCAGAAGCCGCTTAATAACACGCTTAGATTTTTCATATTAGACTTGCAAAATAAAGGGTGTTGCAAAAACTGTTTAAGTCCCTGTATCTGTAAATGCAATGATTTAAAAATAATGGGACACATACATGTTTCTAAAATATGTAATGCTTTTTAATTTGCATTTTGATTTCCATAGCTTTTGAATGCACTTGAGTCATGTTAGTAAACTCTTCTCTGCAGTCCTGGGGGCTGAAATTTTACTTCACTTCCAATGAAAATTATGATTGTGTTCGAGTTGCATGAGTCTAGGAGCTGGCCCTTAAGGGAAACCTAAAATTTGTCCTGAGATGTGAGAGATCAGTCATGAAAGTTGGCAACACTGGAACTCATGTGTGTTATCACACTTAGGACTCCATGACAATAGGATATTTCTGTACTTGATTGTACTGATTTCAGAAATTTTCCCCTGGCATCCACTAATTTCAGGAGGTGACTAAATTTTAGAGTAGAGCAATAAGTCATTTCACAATAACTACCAGAAATGCCAGTAGATATAGTGTTTTTCAACCTGGAAGATTGTACATTGTATCCTGTTTTGGTGCTACACACCTAAATTAGCAACTGTGAGAAATATATGTATGTGAACATATGAATTTATGCATAATATCTTATGATTGTAAGTCAGTCAACAGTGACCTGAGAACCTGTGTCAATGACATTTTTCTGTCAGGAACTTTTATTTTTAATTGTTCATTAGACAAGTGCACCACAGTTTTCTGGCCTGAGTAGACAAGGACGGAGTACAAAAACTAAATAATTCCTGATAAACAGGAAGTTCCAGTTTGACTATCTTTCTCACGAAAAGCAACAAGTTAAATAATCTAAAATGAAAATAGGGATTTTATTTCGAAGGGGTTATTTCCTCCAGACAAAACAGGAACATGCTGTGGTATACACTGAAATTCCTCTTTGAAGAACTTCCTTTATTACTTTCTCAAGATTTTTGTCATCTTGGTTCAATTTTTTAATGTCTCTGTACTAAATGCAAGACAACATTCAGCATTCATATTTAATTTCCCTTATTTACAGCTAATAGTTGTCTAGACTGTGGACTAGATAAAGGCAGCCCATCCGTAACAGAAGAGCTCTCCTATGAGGTCTCTTTCTCAGAGTCCATAACGATCTTTCCAAAAACCCAAGAATGGCCGAAAAACCAGAGGTTCAAAAAGGAAGATGCTGCTTTGCCTGTAAGTTTTTTCTCGACATGTTTCCTCAATTGTTTTCTCTAACATAGTAATTTCTTGCTCTGTATCCCTAGCACATTTGTCTGTTAAGATATAGTAGCTGTTCTTTGTGATGTGTGCTTTATAGAGACTGCCTGCTGTGCCTGCCTACTGCTCATGACTGATTCCCAGAGAGGCACCAAAGCTAATCTGGATATCCAACCCTGGTTTTCACTCATACCCATGGCAGATGAATATGTGTAACTGAGTCCACAAATATTACATCATTCACACATTTTTCACGTAGAAATAAAGACCAGTTACTGGCAATAAAGGTAGCAATCATTTTCATTACCAGTCTGCTTTCCTACCTTATTCCCCCCCCCCCCCAGATTATCTGCCTTTGTTAACATGTGGATTTAAAATTGCTTCACAGATGAAGAGGGGAAAGCAAGCCTTAGTCCTGCAGCAGTACTGATCTTCTCCAATCAGTATTCAGTGCAATTACGCTATACGGGATACTACATACATGGTTAAAGGAAAGTTTATTGTATCTTATCATATCATCCAACCAGACATACACTGAGCAGTTGTGTCATCATCTGGAATTATTTCTTGAAGTCAAGGAAGTTGGTTTTCTATTTCATCAGTCCTCACAACTTCCATTACTGAAAACTGGAGCATTATGTTTGCATTTCAGATACCACCTTTTAAGTGAAATGTATGAAATAGCTGTAAATTATTTGGAAGAATTTCCTAAATATTATGATGTCCTGAGGTCCTGAACTAATCTGGAATTGTTACTATCCATACAGACATTGAATTCTCTGAGAATTATCATTTGTCCATCTCAGGCACCACCAAGGGAGAAGAACCTGAGATGCAGAAGTAAGCTTCCATGTTGAAAGGAGGGATAAGACACCAAGTAGATTGTAACTGGTGTCAAATCCTTGTGCTTTAGTGCATCTTTTTTTTTTTTTTTTTTTTTTTTTTTTTTGTGGTGGGGATAACTTGATGTCCCTGTGGAGACTAAGGATATCTCTGCATTCATGACGGTTTTGGCAAACTAAAGGTTCATCCTTGTTCCTTGTAATAGCAAACTTAGGACCCCAGCCTTCACTACAAAGCACACACGCACGCATGCACACACACACACAAATTGTTCTCTGCAACAACTCAGACAATTTGCAGTTGATAGAGCAGCAAAACTGGTAATATACAAGGAAGAGAAGATGCCACATTGAATATCATGGACCTGTGGATGCACAAATGATTAGTATTAGAAAAAGCCAGTACTATGGTGGAGATGAACTATTCTGCATACAGGACATCATTTTGTGTTCTCAGAAGAGAAATATGCCAGGTCATCACAGAGAGTGTTTCTGAATAAAGTCAACAATTGTAGCTGTTGACACTGGCATTTCTCTCACTTAATATGCTGCCACCCATGGTATTTTTTTTTTCCATAATGGCTTAGACTGTAACCGGCCCTAGAAGAAAAATCACCTCTTGCTCTGTTAGACAGAGCAACATCACCTACACTCTGAAGTGCTGTCCTCCCTTCCTCAAGGTGGGCCAACAGGGCTAGACTGAAGTCCTCACAATATCATACTCTCTCCAGGGCAGGTCTGACACAATAATATAACCAACATCATGGATGACATATACTGAGCTGCAGAGAGAGACCTTATATATCATAAAATAGCATGTTCCCTGCAGCTCACAGTACAGCCAACCCAACATCACTGCCTGCACAGGGTTACATGCAATTTCCTTGATGTGGGACCGTGATTGATGTGGCTTAGTTGAAGATATTACAGAACTAAGAGTCAATAAACATTTCAGGCCCATCTTAGTACACTGTATAGTTCCACACAGAAACAGCATATCGGACATGATCCTTTGCCAAAATGCTGGTAATCTAATTTCAGGATAACATAGACTCCTTCAGTGCTGCATATTGTGACTCTACTGTTTGTAAGAAAAATCACTGGAAAATTGTGACACAGACAGAAGAAAGACGCCCAGTCCCAAACCTTGTGTTAACACTGCATCACATCATAGTGACCCTAGGAGTCAACCAGCCACTGTGGAAAATCATTGTAGCCACCCTTTGTAATCAGGCTTGGAGTGTTTGTAATTTTTTCTTGGCAAACATACTTCTTCTCTTTTCCCTTAGAAAATATGTATACCGTGTGATATTTTATTATTTTCAAGATGACTTATTGTGCTTTGCCTGCTTTTGGACTTTTTGCATTACTGGAATCAAAATACACAGATATTCTTTAGTACTTTATGAGTCTTCAGAAGAGTGCACTGTGCACTGTGACTTAGGAAGTCTTAACCTACATGATCTAGATGTCCTTTGTCCTCTCTTACTTTTGAAATCTGGTGTAAGTTTAATTATTTTTTTGTTTACATTTTTCTTAATATGTTTGACTGGTTTCATCTAATGATGAGTTAAATCTATCAAGTCCAGAATTGTTTAAAAAAGGGACGACTGGGCTGAAATCTTCAGAATCAAAACATTATTAAAGATTGGGTTTCCACTCAGTTCCCTAAAGGGAGGAGATGAGTTGTAATATTATTTATTTATACCTCTGACTAATAATTACTGGTTTAAATTACAATTACATTTAAAAAAAAAAACATATAATACCAAAGAACAACAGTTTTTTTGAAAAGCATGTTTTTTACTATAACTTGGTTATTATGTCTAACAATTATGTCAAAAACTGATGGGTATTTATTCATTTTGACATTTGTACAAATGCTTCTGTCATGATGCAACATTCCTGGTTCTGGTCCATGACACTGCAGTTTCTAAAACATGTAGACATCTTCTCATGCCCCCAAATTATGAAGTCTTATTAGTTCAAGCCTGCTTGAATAAATAATTTCTTAACTACTGGGAGCTCTGTTTGTAAGCCTACATGCTTCTTGAGTAATAAAAAGTACCAGTCAATTGGCAGGTTGGCATCGGACTAAATGATTTTGCTTCTGGGCTTTTCCTCAGACCTTTAGTTTGAACTCTCCTATAAAACCTCATAAATTCGTAGTAATCTACAAAGCAGGCATTGCTTCATTACACATACACACACAATTGATATACAACCACATCCATGATGAAATGTGTCACCTACTTCAACAGCATTCAAAGACACTCTGGGGGAGGCAGAATCAGTGCAAAATGTTACATCCTGATGAAACCAGGCAAAAGTATAATTAAGTAGCACATAGCTCATTTGCCCCAGCTGGAGTACAGGCACTGAGGCTAATAGCTCTGCTCCAGCACCACTTACCAGTCAGACTGTAAAGGAACATGATGAGCGAGTTCAATTTTATGTTTCAGATAGATGCAAGTTATGTTAACATACCAGGCCAATATATAGAGTTGTAATTCATCTCACTGGTGTTATTCATCTACCCCAATATGACTTCCTATTACATATGTGCATCTCTCTCAAAACAAAAATTAACTTCCTGTAATTTTTGTGCAAATAAAGATGTGACCCATCTCTACTATAGAAATTCATTGTTCGGAAAAGCCGGTTTGGACTGACAGAGGTTGGAGACCTCTCTCCTGAAGACATGAAGAAGATCCGCTACCTCTCCCTGATTGAGCTAACGGCCTTCTATGATGCACTGGGGGTAGAGCTGAAGAGGAACCGCTCAGAGAGGGTGCGGGGACGAGGTACTGTGCTGTGGCATCCCCACGGCAGCCACCTGGGTGCTGCTTAGTGTTGTAAAGAAGATATGTTCAAGGCTGTGTTTCCTCTTTTTCACATTTGTTATTATTATTTTTAAGAAAATGGTCTGTTTGGAGTCCCTCTCACCGTACTGCTGGAGAATGATCAAAAGAAGGTTCCTGGAATAAAAGTTCCCCTCATCTTCCAAAAAGTGAGTACAACTCAGCCTGCTTGGCTACTAAGATCTGCTTTTTGATCATTTGCATTGACAGTCAAGAGTCATCAGATAAAAGAAGCAGACACTACAGACTTGAAGTTGTCTACAGATTGTCTGTCTGTATGTTGTGGTTTGAAAACTTTGTGACAAGGAGACAAAATTTGCACCTTTGGTGTGTTCTATCTGTGGTGGGAATCTCTTTCAATTTTTGTAATTATGTGATACCATAAAGGAAACTTCAGGAAACATATGTTTGGTTTTCTGCTTCCCTTTCTTGTTACATTAGAGCGCCATGCAAAATTGTGTGTGTGTGCGGAAGTGGCAGAGAGCTGTCTCAGGAGTTTTAATTTCACATGTATTCAAAGTGCTATTATTTCCAGAATGGAAGTGGTATCTTCTCATTGAAGTTTGTATGACAAGACAACATCATTTATATAAGTTATTGGACAGTACAATAACATCCAGCAGTTGTCCTGAAGACAGGTACAGAGACACAAGCACACATCCAATTACACAGGTTTACATGGACTCGAAAGTACAACAAATTTCCCTGTAAATACTGACAAATGGGAAAGTGGTGTGGAGTATTTGGGGAAGGACTGATATGACTTGAATATTTATATGACATTGCAATCAGCTCCACAGCTCCACTGTCAAGATACCATAGGAAATTAGAAGGATCCAACAGCTAGGACAGGAAGCAGAGCTAGTGAGGAAAATCCAGAGCTGTATAAATAAATGTTAGGAAATTAATTTGTTGTTGTTGTTGTTGTTCTAAATTATGTTAAATAAAAACATATTTATTCTTTTTATAAAGAATTAGAGTGGAAAGCCTATTCCCCTATTCACAGAATTTTCAAAATAAAATATCCTGGGATCATTTTCTAATCTGAGTTCTCAGTTCTCAGAAACATATGTTATCTATAGACCTTTCCATTGTGCTCCTCAGGGAAAGACTTAAACATTTCTCAGAGGTTAATTTTCACTCAAAACACCATTGTGTTTTACCCAGTGTATCTGCTCTTTTATTAATACATTTATGTGTTAATTTTTCTATAGCAGTGCCAAGTCTCAAATCAAGGACAGAAGGACCTATTGTATTATCAGTTTTCCGTACTCTGCATACTCCATATTTCAGGGTCAGGAATACGGAGGACAAATTAGGCTGGCTTGTTTTCATTAGCAAATTACATAGAAATGTATCTTTTCCAAAATAGTTTCAAGGATACCTAAGTTGAAAAAAGTTAACAGTATTTTTTAGTATTTTTAAGTGCTTCTGAGTATTTTCCTGGTTTGTTTTTTTTTTTTTTTTTTTTCTTTTAGTTGCTGCTCAAGCTTGAGGAAACAGGTTTAGAAACAGAAGGAATTCTACGAGTGCCTGGTTCTGCCTCCAGAGTCAAGGTACATGCTCATGCCAGTTTTCTGTCTCTTGGATCACAGACTCTATGTAAAATAATACAGCACATACAAATTCACCATACACATAAATATGTGTAGCTCAGCATTTCTATTCCTACCAGTGAAAGGTCAGATTGGTTCCTGGGAACCTATAAATCACAGAACATGTGGTCTATCACTCTGCATTTGTTAATGTTCTATATAAAGCACAGACTTGACAACGAATGTAGATTTTTTCCACTAAACATTGGGGGATCCTTTCAGTTTATCTCTGTCGTCCAAAGTTGCTATGATCTTATCTTTGTTTTAATTTATTTCAGAAATCCAGAGTTGCTAAACTGAGCGAACTTCAGATAAACATCTTATTTCATGTCATTTTAACCTTTGTGTCATTTTATTTCTCATTTATCTTCTGTGATCTTACAATTTCATGTTCCAAGTGAGAGAAATTTGGCCTGTGTTCACTGTTTGGCAGCCTCAAGTACTGCATTTTCACAGGCTATTTGTGGGCTATGAACACAGGATAGTTGGTACCCAATAACATGATATTGTGGTGCAGTAATGCTTGCAATTTTTTCTCCAGACTAACTTGATTTCTGGAGCTGGAGGCCTTATGCAGAGGCAAATTAGGAAAACAAGTTTTTTCTGAGCTCAGTAGTGTCTACCTCTTTCCCAGATTTGGGGTTTTTTTTGATCTGGCTTAAGCAAATTTTTATAATGCATCCCAGTCCCACTTTCTCATCCTCAAGAAAACCAGTCTTACTTTCTGAGGCAGGAAGTCTCAACATTGTGGCAGCTACACAAATGTTGGGGATTGCTAAACACTGGTGGGCTGGGAAGTATCAAAAATGACTGTATAAGAAAAAGCAGTATTAAGTGAAATGCACCAAAGATAGGCAGTGGCATTCCAGCTCCCTTTGACTCTGTGGATTGATAAAAGCACTCAGCCCTTTGCAAAGTGCCACATCTTGCAGAAGGGACAGAGCTACTAATCTGGCCTGTACTTTTCAGCTTCCTAATTTTTCATACAAATACATAAAGTATTATTTCACACAATCTCATTTTTTTCCAACCTCTCCAGAGAGATTACACATCAGGGCTGTGCTCTAATTAATTAAATTACTTTCATATTCTTAGAATATACTGTACTGTGTCTTGTTCACTTCTTACTCACAACCTATATCCAGGGAGCTGCTTTGAGATATGACTTTATATGTAACTCTCCTATACTGGGTGGTAAATTAGACTACCCATATGAAAGTTTTAAATTATTTTAGTTTTGGCTTCATTTAAGTCTGTCCAACAAGCCAAACAGCAAGAGAGAGACTTTTTCAAAGCAGATCCAGATTTCATCCTTTAAAGCCTTCATACATTATTGTGACATTAGGATTTGAGGGCATTCCAATTTTATTTCAGTCTTGTTTGGAGGAAGAAAAGGCATATGGAAATTATTAAAGGTTAGTTTTCTATAAAATAAAGAATAGAAGAAATTAATACAAGTTTTCCTCTGTAATCTGGTTTGTAATAAAAGCTCCAGTGAACCAAAATTGTATGATAGTCTACTGTAGGAGCAGTCATGTTTAAAAAAAATATTTCAAAAATGTTTTTTTTTAAAGTACTTCGGTGCATATGTATATATATATATATGTAGGGGGGGGATTAGTGTACAAAATATACATATATGTTTGCCTGTGTGGATATATATGTTAAATGTTTATGTTTCAAAAATCTTCCTTTCTATTTCTACATCATTTTCCCAGTTCTCAGCAGAAAAATGTAGAGTTTTTTCTGTCCTCTTGTGCTTTTGACGAGGTGAAGATTTCTGTTCCACATTTTCCAGTCAGTTACCGGGAGAGAATTTAATCCAGGTGTTTGTATGGATTATGTGTAAAGGATGTAAATACAGAGGAAGCTGAGATAGCCCAGATTACAACCAGTAAAATGGGCTAGTAAAAATGAGACTGTAACATTTTATTCCAAATCCTGAATGACTTTCTATTTCCTTTTGTGCCAACCTTTCCACTTCATTATGTGTGACCATATTTGATATGTAATTTCCTTCCATTCATGTGAGACAGGGTAAACAGAATTCATTTTTAAAAGCTCTTCTTCCTAAATGGACTAAACTTTTTTTTGCATAATATTAAAGTACATTTGACAAAAAAATTATCTGAAACCTGAATATTAGCTACAAATATATTTTGTCATAAACAGTCTCACAAAATCTGCAACAAACTTCCTATGGATAAGGCAGTGTTTGGCCAGTAATAATTGTGAAAGCTACATTATTTATGGATATCCTGATATTACAATAGTGTCCTTCAATCTTATTAACCCACCAAATTTTTGAGGAGATTGCATTTTCCAAACAGTGATATGGGTTTGAAGCCAAATTCTGTTCCTACTAGGAAACTTACTGAATGTTTCCTATTCACACGTGTGTGAAACATTGATTAGTTACCCTCTGGAACTAAATAGATGTCTGTTATAGAGCAAGCCTTTTGAGAACAAGAGGATTAAATGGGGACCCAAAAGGTTGTAATCAATTCTGGTTTAGACCTCTCTTGTGCTTTTTGAGGGTGTTTTATTTGGCAAATATTGAGTGGAGGTTTTCTGACAGTAATGGTTTGATATCTTTATTTTTCTATGAAGTTATCAAATCTAATTATAGCTATCCTAAAAGAAAACAATCATTCTAAGGACAGGAAGTTCTGAAGTTAAATCCATTTGCTCAGGGCCCATGAACTCGGATGCCAACAGGCTATCTAGCAAGTTCACTGGCAGTGAGGAAGAAATGCCACTCCTTTGTAATTTAAGGGTCAAAACCTCTGGAGAGTGTTTTAAACAAAAAGAACAGCTGTATTAAAAATCCTGTTGAACTGAATTTTCTGTTTGTAGTTCTAAGACGTTACACAAAATTGTCTTGCTTTAAAATGTTTTAAGTGGGTCACTGGCAGAAATCTAGGTATAGCAAACTAAATTTAGCCTGGGTTGCAAAATATACCCAGGAACCTGATTTGTTAACCTGTTCTGAACTCTGCATGGCTCTAACTGTACCACTACTGGTTTAGGTTTACTTTAATTCAGCTGTGGTGTAAACCTGACTGTTGTTTGAAATAGGATATCTGAAGTGATCTCAAACTACCGGGTCAGAAGCAATGATTAAAGGTCAGATGTTCCTTTTATCTTTCAGAATCTCCATCAAGAACTTGAAGCAAAATTTTATGAAGATACTTTTGACTGGAACCAAGTACGAAATAATGATGCAGCAGGACTGCTGAAAATGTTTATAAGAGAACTCCCAAGTCCACTCTTCACAGTAGAATACCTGCCTGCTTTCATCATGCTAGTGGAAAGTATGTGGAAATCTAGATAAAATGTAATAGTAGACATTACATTTTTTTTCTCTCTCTCTGAAGCAGTGAGAACAAAAGGCCCAGTGCATTGACTAAACATTTAAATTTTCTGCAAGCTTTCCTTTTCAAATGGAAAAAAATCTCTGCGTTTAGCTAATAACATAGACTTGTGTGAATGACACAAATCTTTAATGTAAAATTTAAAACCTGTGAGCAAATGATGGCTGAGCAATGGCTTTCATAGATAGACTCTGATTCACACAAATGATAGGTTTCACAAATGAAAATTTCTGCAAGGTAAACTCAAATCACTGCCCTTTAGCTGATATTCTATTAGATCTATTTTATTTCTTTTAAAGTTTATGCTGAGGCCAGACTATTTTTACAAAGATATGTGTGATCACAGGAAGCTTCAGGCAGTTCCGTTTTGTTTTCAGTGTACATACACCCTCTCATTCTCAGTACATTTTGTTCATTTATCTTCTAGGAAGACCGCAGTAGTACTTTGCCATGCCTATTGACTTCATTGTAAATTCACTTGTACTAGGACACAGTGAAACTATCAGAGTGGTGAATTTGTTAGACAAATCAGTACAGAAAACTTAGGCCCTTTACTTATGGTTGCAGCCAAGTTTTCATTGTATCCGTGAGGTTGTTTAAAGGGTGCAAGGGGGTGATGCCTTCCTGTAACCTTCAGATACCTGAGTGTGTTCCCTGTGAATCCCAGACTGCATTCAGTTACGATCACTTAGCAGTTTGGAGAAGACTGCACAGGAGGTGTCTGTGCAAAATAAAGTAACTTTATTTCTTACAAAGATATACTGTCCACAACTCACACCCTTTTTTTCTCCAAACCTCTCTCATCTACCCTGAGTGGAAGCAAATGACAGTTATTCTTCCTGTCTTCTCCACTTCAGCTATTCTAGTGAGAATTGCACCATGTCGATATATAACAACTGCTGAAAACATGATGGTATTTTATAACTGACAAGGGGCTCTACATTTATCTAGAGTGCTAGATTTGGGACAAATACTTTTTAAGTTATAAGCAGTCAGTCTCCACTCTAATGGCACAAATGTTCAGCAAATTATGCAATAACATTAGTATGAAAATCTTCTGAAAACAGATATCTATTTCAGTTTGAAAGGGGAAAAATACTTGATCCATATTCACAACACATCCTGACCATGATATCAAAGAGAAACTGGGTAGCACTGAAAAATACTGGCTCCTTGATACTTAGACAAAATTTTATAGAGCCTTGTCTCCCCTAGTGGCAAAGACTTGTCTCCCCCTGTGGAAAAGCTGAAAATTACAGATGGCAAAGACCCAAGATGATGAGGAAAACCCCACTCATTAAATTGATTTTATATTTGAGAAAGAGGTTATGGTTAATCAACACCTAAACATGCTAGTCTCAACCTGGCAGTGGTTGCTAACTTTCTAGAACTGCTGACCAACAAGGTTTTTAGAACAAACCAATTGCAACTGGGATTTCAAAAATATTAATTATTCATATTCTTAGAAATCTCCAAGATCAAGTTACAGCTACAAGCTTTGCATCTGTTGATCATGCTGCTGCCTGAAGCCAACAGAGACACAGCCAAGGTAAGTTTTTCATTTGCTATCTTCATCTGCCATCTGTGTGCTTTTGATTTTTAAATGAGACCCTTTTTTTTTTTTTCTAACAGTCAGTGATCAGACACTGCACCATGAAGGTACTAATCTGTGTTTTTTATAATTTCCTTGAAAAACTGTTCCAATTCCCTGGCTGTCATTTCTTTTACAAGCAATTAAGAAATAGTTGCTGGAGATATCCAACTGCCGGTGTCAGTAAATGGCTCCCAGGCATCATTTATTCTAGAGTATCCATTTCAAAGAGGCATGTTCCTTGCATAGTTCAGAAAGAGAAGATCCAGTTTCTGTGTTTTCTGTATAACTGGAATTCTCCAGAATGAAGTTAAATGAGAAGCTGCACCCCGAGGAGTTTGCCTAGTGCACTCCCAGGGCTGAAAGGCTTCCAGGGCACCGGACCAGACTGGAAGAGGTAGTCCAAAGTAAAAATCCCTGAAGTTTACATCTATAGCATGGATATCAGGACCTCAGTGTCATCTGGTTTGCTTTACAAACCCATACCCACACCCATGTACTACTTCTTGATACAAACACAGTGGCTACAAGCATTTTGGGTGCTAGGGAGCTCCCAGATCTGGCTGCAGCTATGTCCTGACCTTAAGAGACACTGGTTGCATCTTTGGATTTGTTTCTACATAAAGGAAACCTGGGTGAACAAGCTGCCTAGGAGCCCCTAGACATTCCATCAGGTCCTCTGCTCATCAATGGCCTGCAGGTCCCCCACCTCTGAAAGTTTCCACTGGTCAGTTTAGATATAGCTTTATGAGTCCAGGTGCCTTTTCTTTTTAAACTCTATTTATTTATACAGTAAAAATGGACAAGATTAACAACTCTCTTTAAAGCATTAGGAGGCCTACTATTGCTCTGTGTAGAATGGGGGTTATTCCTTCTACCAAAGTCCGTATCAGTATAGAGTTGTATATGTAAAACACATGCTAGATGAGTAGTCTTAATTATTACTAGGATTTTATACAAAAATAAAAGTGATGACAAAACTGAATGCATCTCTACTTGCTATCTATAATGAGATTTTAGAAATTTCTCCAACAGTTTCTGTTTTGCAATCCCTGGGTTTGTAAAAATGTTTTAATTGCAATGTTAAGGTACAAACACAGTGGTTTTAATGGTATGAACTCATTAGCAGACCTAAACTCTACCCACAGCTGCAATCCATCTTATTCAGTCACTCAAACAAAATTCTGAATAAACTGCCCAAAAGGGAAATGAGTTTCCTTTGACTCTGTCATGCATGTGTAGAAGTGACGCCAACGATCACTGAGCTCTTCTTGCTTTCATTATCCCAGAATAGAAGTTCGGGGGTTGTCCTGGTTTCTATTGGCAGAATTCCTCAGACTTTCCTCAGAAATTCCTTCAGATTATCACATATGGGACTGGTGTACATTTGAAGAGGGGCTGATCACACTGGTGATTGCAATAGAAAAAGCCTTGGCCAGATACATCAAAATGGACACCTTGAAATCTATGAAGAAATCAGCTATTCCATTTCAACACCTGTATATCATTACTGCAGGATTCAGAGCCTTAATGCAGGCACTGTACTTGATTTATAGATTTGGGATTATGCTATAAGTGATAAAAAATCTATTATTGTATATGTTGATAACATTAATTATTCTTCTGTCATTGACACAAGTGGTTGTGCCAGCAAAGATCAAAGTAATCAAAATTAGAATGCAAAAAACCCAAAAATTTTACCTCCAAATGCAAATATAGCAGCTTTCAAGCCGGCTATACATTTGAAAATGCTGAATTTAAGAAGTAAACTCTTTTGTGAGACTCAGCATAACAGGTGTTGTTTTTCCAGGCCTTTCTTCAGTTCCTGAAGAAGGTGGTTGCTAATGAAGGGAAAAATAAAATGAATTTGTGGAATGTTTCTATGATCGTTGCACCAAACCTCTTCATCTACAAAGGGAAACGTGCAAACCAACAAGAAATGCAAGCTGCCGCCACCACAGCGCACATTGTGAGGCTTTTAATTCGGTACCAGGACATCCTGTGGACAGTGAGTAATGCTGGTTCCCTCTTTATGGCTCCAGTACAGAGTAGTATTTTGCTATATGCAGCAGCTCTGTAGAAATCAGACTAAACTGACCTTAGAAGATACAGTTAGCTATTCTTTGGAAACTGGCTGGAGACTTCTATATCTAGAATGATATAGGGTGACAGATAACTCTGGATAGCAATTTACCTCACTTATCTGTCATCCGTTTAATCATGAATTGACCTCTGGAGGTACCAATCCCACATCATTTTTTATACAGAAGAATGCGTAAGAGAATGATTTCATCTAGATGCATAGGTGAGATATTTAAACTTGAATGACTAATAATATGAGCCAAAAGTGGGGACAACTTGCTGGACTTCCAAAGGTTGGCATGAAGATGATTACAGTCTCGCCTCATTTCCTCACAACAGAGGGAGGGTATGAGGGGTGTTGCAAAAACCACCTCTTAAAAACGTTCCTACAACTGCAAACATCACTAAAAAGTTTCATATGGTATGAATTCTACGATATCATTGAAGGAATAACTATAGTTTGTTAGAGGGAGCTACTAAACTCACATATGTTCTGGGAATAAATAGAGCTTCTGTTGCCTAAAATTTGGTGCCTTCTTAAAGCCCCAACACCAATTTTATGGGGAAAAAAAATACTGTATATTCTCAGCTCTGGTTTCCTCCCTTTAGATCCCATCCTTCCTGATTTCCCAAGTGAGAAAAATGAATGAAGCAGCAATGAACAACAGCAAGAGGCAGCTGATGTTTGACAAAGGAGTGAGAAAACTTCTGAGGAGAAAGACCATGGAACGGGAGAGACCTGAAAGACCAGAGGTGTGATTAAAACTTATAATTTTCAAGGGCATCTTTAACCAGCCTCCCTCCTTTCTTATCTCATAAAAGCTTATGGGGGCAGAGAGGGAATTTTGCCATATAAAATAAGCTGATTTGGGAGTTATCTTGAAAGATGTGTTTCCCAGTCCAACATTCTGATAAAACAAAGCTTTGAGGATTGATTGAGAAAGGTGAGGAAGACAGAATCATTTCTAGCAGTCCAGGCTATAAGCTGTTACAAACACATGATGGTTTTGAATCTGTTTTATAAGAAAATGGACATATGTGGACTGCTCTTGACAGCAATGATCTGTAGATATTCAACAAATATGTAGATCTGTAGTTGAATAGTAGGATAGTCCATAGTAGGATAAATTGCACTTACCCATACTCTGGTCCAGGCCACCCGATATTCTCCTTGCAAGCTTTAGTTTTACAGCTTCGCACTAACTTCCTAAGCAGAGAAAAAATCCAGTTTGCCTAACATAGACACCGAAACTGGGTCTAAATTTTAAGTTTGCACTGTTATTCCCCATATAATCAAGGCAGAGAGGTGGATACTTTTGAGGATATCCAGAGCTCCAGTTCAGATTTAGGAAAGTCTGATACAAGAATCTTCTTTTGGATGTCTTAAAGCCACCAACTTTTCTCCACTGCCTAGATATGGAGTTTAGGAACTTACTGGAGGTGTGATTCTTCAATAGACAATTAGAATTAACTTACTTATTAGGTGTAACATATAATTGGGCAACAAAGCATATTGTGTACAAAACATATACAGTCCCTACAGCAGTTTATATGTAGTAGTAACTACCTTTAATAAACTGGAGATAAAGTCTTTAGAGTCTTCCATGGAGATTTAAAAGAATGGAGATGGTGAATTGTAAGAGGAGTAATCAAGGAACTGATCAAAGACCCTGCAGTTATTGAAGAATAGTCTTAAAGAACAAAAGATAAATTAGGAAGGAGTGATATTAAGAGATTATAAGAAATAGACAATAATCCACCTAATACAGACAACAGAGAAAACACAGAAGGGAATAGCTGGGAAAAAATAGAAAAAGCACTGATACACATGAATTGTGAATCCATGCTAATTCAGCTTTTTTGAGAATTTATTTGCCAGCACTGACTGAAATATACTGTGAATAGGACACACATTTGTGCTGCAGATGGAGAGAGACAGAGATGTTTGTTTAAAATGGCGGTATAGACTACTGTGTTGCAAAACTGTTCACCCTGGAATGAATACAGTGAGAGCTTCTGAGCAGAGTCAATTACTGCAGCCACTGCACCTTCGGGAAGACAAGTTCATTGATCATAGTAATTGGTTTTGCATCTAATAAAAGACTAGCCATGGCAGGTAGCTGAATTATGAAAGGCAAATTGAAGGCAAACTCTGTTTGGATAACTGAGTTGAATTTTGAGAGCACTTAACACAATCCCTGTGTCTCAGATGTTCTAAATTACACAGGGACAGAGACTGGATATGCTATTGTACTCTGATCAGCATGGTATTAACTGGATTAGAACTGGAATGCAAACCTTGCTAATTGATTTATCTGCCATTAATCATGGAAGAATGGATAAACATCATAGATGATCGTTTGAACCCTACACAAGGTCAAATTTCAAATTAACAGAAACCATATGGTACTTTGATATTTTACTGTACATATGCTTCAATCTAGTTGAAGCTATAGGAAGCAGAAACAGAGAACTGAATCTTCATGCCTCAGGAGAATTTAATCTTTAAAAGGAAGAACAGATATTCTTTATCATTTTCATGTATTTTTAAATAAGTAGTTGGTTCACTGATCAGTGTTAACAGAACTAACTTGAAAAGGCTTAGATAACAACTCAACTTTATATTACTGCAAGCGGTTCAAATTCAAGGGCTTTTCTTTATTCTGTGTGCATTTATGTGATACTTACCAAGGAGTTTGTGTCTTTGTGTCATATGACTGTAAATACGTTTTTTGAATAATCAAGTGAATCCAGGACAGTGATTTTTGCAAGCAACCTCAAAAGAGATGCAGAACTGCTTCTGAATGGAGCTTGAACAATATTTGCCATAGACTTAATCTACTGAATATTGATTTTAGGGAGCTGTCACTTTTCCCCCATATCTGCAGTCTGATATACCTGAGGGGGTGATAAGAGTTTATGCTCCACTGCATTCAAAAATCTCTATGGCAATTCAACTCAACAGCCAAACAAAAGCCAAAGACATCCTGGCTCGATTCCACTGTGAAAACAGGTGGGTAAATCAGAACATTTTGTTTTTCCTGAACAATAATGTCAGAACCATTAATGAATAGATTGTTCCCTTTTCAAAGACTCATTGTGTTGCAGAACTCTTTTTCTAATCTAAAATTGTTAATTTATGGTTACATTAGTCAAAGAAATTTTAACCACTGATTTTATTCTTTGTATTTTACTTAATAATTGGCTTCTATACAGAATCAATCTGACCTCTGTTATGCCACTATTAAAAACATACGTTTTATAGACTTGCCACACAGAGAACCCATAAAATGTGAATGTTTTTATTTCTGCAAGGTAATAATTATTAACAGTTTTGGCAAATGGTAAATTGTATCTGAATGTCTTTTCTGCAAAGCCTTCCCTTGTTACCACATAATTCTGTTCTTTAAATAAACAATAGAATAGAATATTTAGTTAATTGGGACACAGTAATCTACCTCTGTGGCAGATTCAGTATTCTGCAGTGCTCTGTTTTTTGAAGTCCTTGCTTTTGACAAGTTCACAGGGGTAAAAATACCAATTTTATAGCTTAACCTAGATGGTGATTGATAAGGCAGTGATTATCACAGAAAGACAAACTGAAAGGTTTTTTTCCATCCTAGCCACGGATCATCACAGAACATGAGAGGCCAGATCCAAAATTTACATGAAATTGGAGGAAATATAGGTAGGTCTCATGTCTGAAAACTCAATTCTGAATGCCCTTAGCCTCCTAAAACACCTCAGGGAAGTACTGTTTTCACACAGCTGGGTCCTTCCTACCCTCCAGTCCATCTGCAGGAAAGGTGACTGACCCAAAAGCTGTTAAAATCAAAGTAACAATTCCTTCCAACTCCAGCATGACTAGAGGGGCACCCTGCAGGAGATAGTGACCCAGTGGCTGGGTCTCAGCAGGACTCCTTACAGTCTTGTCAAATGAATCTGACCTTCCACTTACCTCTCTCACTCTTGTAATCGTGCATTTTTCCATGGTTAAGAGATCCTTAGTCTTCCTCTCATTAGCACATTTCACCCCGCTGTCAAGTCTTTTCCCAAGACCGATTTCTTCCTCGCTGTATTTAAGTGTTAACATTCCTCAAACAAAAACCACAGAACTGGGATTTCAGCCCCTGCATGTATGGGTGTACTATACTTGTACTAATCTGTGTGCTTTATTTAGACCATAAATTCCTTGCTGTAGGGATTTTGTCTTCCATCTTTTATGCAGTGACATTTTTGTAATAACAACAACAGTGGCTTGTCACACAAGTTCATGGCCTAATAAAGGTCAAAAAACAGATTTTAACTTGATCTTGCACAGTCCTGACTCTCTCTTTTCTCTATTCATACTTAAATTCTGGATGCTCTGTTGGAGTCTTTTGAGAACTGTCTGATTAGATTATTCTTTAATTCTTCTAGATTCAGCTGCAAACAGTTTCTATAAAGTTGTTACAAAACTTCACAGACTTGCAGCAGTCAAGAAGCAATGTCTTCATTGCTGAAGATATACAAAGCTATATTTGATTAGCTATTTGTTTTGCCTGGCTAAACAGGATGACCAAACAATTCTAAAACAGGAAAAGATCCTAAGGGCCTTGTGAAACAATCCTAAGTATTCCCACCATGCTTTTTCAAAAATCTGGACATTTAATTTGCATCTTCATTTAAAATAATTTTTATAGTCCTAGATCTTTCAGAGTACCTTAGTCCACTGATAATGCATTAATTCATTTATATTGCTTTCATTTGAATAAATTCATTAGGACTCCAGTGACCTTTTAAGTAACTGTACAAAAAATTTACCATAATCCTTTGTGTCACAGCAATGCAGCCTCACCAGTTAAACGGCTCCATCAACCAGTGTAAATGCAAAATAGCCCAACAAATCAACTTAATTCAAAAATTTATTGCCTTATTACTCAATTAAGAGGCATTAAATGCCTATTTCTGCAGCAAAGGCAGCAAGCAGAGACTCCGCAACCTTCCAACTCCTATTCCCAGTCACCATTTAATGAAACACTCAAATGGACATACTTAGGAGGACTCTTTTGAAAAAAACAAAACAAAACAAAAAACCCCCAGAAAAATAGTAGCTGCCAAAAAGCTTGATATAGTCCCTATATTTCTTTGAAAGATCCTAGTTGAATGAGAACACATGGTTTACAAAGCTACTTTTTCAGCATTTAGAAATAGTGTAGAAACGAAGTCACAGTGTTGTAATTCCAGCCCAGTAAATCCAAAGAACTAGAAAAAACATGCTGTGGCACTTTGAGTAACAGTGTGTTAGTGCTCCTAAAGAAACCGTAATACCTGTTCATCATTTGACTAAATGCCTTGTCCATAACTCAGTGTAGTGCAGCGCATCCTGCCTGGAAGTGAAAGTGAATTCATGACTCTCACTGAGTAAAATCACTGGCACAATTACTAAAGCCCCTGTCTATCCAGGCAAGATAGCTGGACACGACAAACTAGGTAGGCTATGTGCAGGTCAGAGATACATTCAAGGACAGTTTAACACAGCTCTGTCCTACTTGCTAATGGGCTCAAAACATTCTGAGATTCATGGCTGTTGATTTCCGTTTCAGGTCAGCACTGTTTGGATCCGGATGCATTCATGTTAGATGTTTACCGTGCAAATCCTCAGGCAGAATGGGTGATAAAGCCAAAAGCAAGCTGAAGCAGAAGGCTGCGATGTACTGGACAAAAGTCAAATGGACAACAGTGATGCCTGCCATTTTAAGAAGCTTTTGGCAGAGACAAAACAAAATGGTAGCTACAGGACATCATTCCTTCCAACTGTACTGTCCAGCTGATGTTCACCATGTACCACTTTTGGTATAAGCATTATCACTCCAGCTTCTGGACCATCTGAAAATATCACATCAGTTATGCTTTTATATGGGTTACACTTGTGCCAGTTGGCCCAGGAGTTAAGGACGGACCAAGGTACGGTGTACAGAAAACAACCGGTCACATACAGAGTTACTTATTTCCTGACCTGGTGTTAGAACATGAGTTTTTGGAAAGAATCCATTGGCATCCGTGGATGCATGAAACACTACCAATCACAGCTTAACACAGAAGCATCACGGAGACCTTCAAGAAGAAAAGGTATCTGTCAAGTGTGGAAGAGAGGAGCTTGACCTGCAGCAGTGCCAAGACATAGCTGTGTGACAAAATCAAACCTTTCTGCTGAAAGTAAACCTGTACAGTGTGCATTACTGCAATATTTATGTCTCTCAGTCACTCCTCATGAGTACCTGATGCCAGAGGAGGGGGGGAGGGATGGGGGCAGGAAGAACTACTGTGTAGACAGCTATACTGCTTTATGTATGTACCACTGTATGATTACTACCAGTCTTCCAAAATTGTCTATCTGGATCACATCACTGTGCAACTGTAGCACCACAATCCATTTGCTCCTTCCTTCCCCCATCACACACAGAAACTTTGGGAGACATGCTGGGCGAGAAGGGGCATATTCCCCTGGCTCTGCCTTTTACTTGATACTCTCAGATTTATGTCTGTGTAATGCCATAATATGAGATATGTGTTAATGGTGCCACTTAAAGCCATCATATTTTTGTTAAACATTATAATTTCTTAATTTGTAACCTAATTATTTTTCTTTTGTTTATTTTAGCTTTAATATGTAAGCAACTTTTATACTATTCAGCTGCACTGAGAAGAGAGATCTTTGTCTGGACCTTGTATAATATTGCATGGAGAAGAAAAAGAGCTTCCAATGAGCCGAGGGTTTTAATTTTCTTATTTAACATTTACACATTAGGGCCTTAAAACCATAGCCAAATCAGGCCCAGTTGTGCTGAGGGTTTATACAAATATGTAGCAAATTGCAGCTCCTTTACAGATGCCATGCAGTCTATAAAAACACACAGGCTGACAAGAGAACAGTGGGCTGCAACTGCATTCAGAATGCATCGTAGGAAATGTAAGACAGTATATCTAGTTTATAGCCAGTCACAAGGGTGAGCACCATTCTTCACTTAATTGTCTTGTTTTGGGCTATACTTGATAGAACTAAAGCATGTTTATTGGGTAGAGAAATCACAAGTCTCTGGAAAACAGCAAGTTTTTCTTTTTCATCTTTGTCTTACTCAAAAAATGGGAACTAATGCCTTCAACTGCACTGCAATGTCTCCATCATCGGATGATGATATTGCACAATTAATTCACTCGCAGTCTGCACAGTGAGTTTTGTTCCTGATCTGGACACACAGGTGAGGCAGAAGCTGCTGCTCTGTTTACCAGGTAACAATATAAAAGCGTTCTGAACCAAGTCCTCCAGGTGACCATAAACTACGTTGTCCTGCAGAGAAAGCCTGTAACTTGTGATGCTCTGCTGAAGCTGTGAGACGATTTGCACATTCTAGAAACCCTGCTTCTGGTTTAAGTTAATCGTGTTTCTCCAGTAGTTAACTTTAATTCTTAGTATTCAGTGAAAGAAATCAATATCGAATCTGTAATTTTACCACCAACAGTAACATCTACAGAGGGCAAAGCCCATCCTTCTTTTTTACCTTCTTCAGATAAAATACGATAAAATTTAGAAACATTATCCTTTAATTTTCTTTAAAACCGTGAAATTTTTAACTTTTTTTTTTTTTTTTCTTAACACTAATGGATGCATATTTGCAGCCAGAAAAAGACTGGGACAGTTATATTATAAAATACACCACCTATTTTGCCAACTATTTATTTTAAGTATATGAGAGATAGTAGATCTGTGATTTGTTCATTGGACTAAGCATAAACATTTTGTCAAGTGCTTTGTTCCTGATTCCCTTTAGTTCCCCCTGTGGCAATGGACATCTCTCTCTACTATGCTGTCATTTTCTTTTAGCTGTAAAACAGGACTAGTACTTTCCTTGTAAAGGTAACATGAGAATTAGTTGAGTTAAATTCTGCTCTCAGATAAAGCCAAACAACTCCCAGAGCAGAACAAGAGTTATAAACATCCATCTCAGAAGGACAAACTCAGCAAAGGGATTTTATGTGGAAAGTGCTTTGAATACGAAGAGCATCATATAAATGCTAAGCATCATTTTATTTATAGCCAACGAAAGCTTTTATGACTATACAGAAAGCCTAAGCATTAACTAAAGAATTCAAAATGTAGCAAATGAGATAACTTTCTACAGTACTTTCAGACAAACACATTGACCTCCTCCTTCTTGCCCACTCGCTTCACTCTGTTTTTAATGGCTATGCAAGGGAAAGTACAGAGCACCCTGTGTTCACACTGTCACCCTGAAATGATGACTTCATCAAAATTATTTCTGAAATAGATCTCACTCTTCCATAGAGGATACAAGGGCTTTTTGGAAGACTTTCACCTTTTACCACTTTGCATCTTAGGAAAGCCAAATCTGATGTAATGAAATCCATCCTGTGAGCACTTAGTTTTATACCAAAATTGTCTATAACTTTATAAGACATGCATATTAGCAGATGAATTAAGATTGTATGTATAGTGACCAAACTACTGCAGCACGGCCAAATACCTGCTGTCTCTGAAACATAACGGCAAAATTATTTTTTGATACAAATGGACCTAATGATCCATGTGTACTGTGGTTAATACTGTCACACATTAAGTTGTTTTGCCTTGTTGTGGTACACTAAATTGATTTAATATGCAGCAGACAAACTGAACAATCTCTATGACATTTTTGAGCATGACATCTCAACTTTAGGCCTTGTATTTTCAAATGCCAGTGGAGGCACCAGGAATTTTGTTGCTCCTAACAGCAGCTGAAATCAAAACCAAATTATGATAGGATTGACACCTAACAAAAAGCAGTGTATGTGGAAAAGTATTAATAAGAAAGTGGTAGCAAGCAGGGAGAAACTTATTCAGCAAACTCCAAAGATGCCTCAAGCATTTATGTCCTCTATGGTTCTACAAAGACAGCATTTTGCATATCAACACATAGGGAGAGTGTATTGGTATTGGAAGTATTGGAAATGTAGGTATTGGAAACAGACTGGAATGCTCTAACCTGTCCACACAGCTAATGTCATTAGAATGTGTGCATATGTGCAAATGTGTCTGTGTCTGTGTCTATGTATAATATTAAACTACCTCACTCTGCATTTTCCAGGAAATATATTTTGGCTTAGAGGTTTATCAATAGAAAATAAAACCTCTCCACTAGTCTTTTACATTGATAAAAAGTTTCTCCTTCTAAGGGGCAAGATTTGGAAATTATAAAAAAAATATATATTGAGACATATTTCAGGATACAGATGAAATTTTTTTCATCTTGCCTCAATTACTGTTTGCAACATGAACCATATGAGATTAGATCTTTGGGTTAATAGACAATAAATACAAACATACTGTTTCAGTTTTTATTTTTCAATGGCTTTCCATTAATGTGCGTCTTCTCTAGAAAATAGTATGGTGCCACTAATCAAAGCAAAATATTTGTACGTACATTTCTCTTACAATCCTCATTATGTTATGTGTTTTGTTGAAGTAAGCCCGCACCTAAGTGTATTTGTACAGCAGATTGTGTCCATTGTATTGTATCTGTGTCAAAAATAAAAACAATACCAACAAAGCAAGCTCTTCAAATGTAAACACATGGTTTTCAGATAGAAGCAGGTGAAAGAAATTGCAAAAAGCAGTGGTGAATCCATCTTCAAAGCACCTCTGTTGCTATAGCACCTGAATAGCTAGATACACAAAGGACCACATTCTGCCATCCTTGCTGAAGTGGAGCAGTTCTTTGCTCTTGGACTGCCTTGAGGCAAGGTATAAAACGACACTGCTTAGAAACTTGCCACATTGAAAGCAATGACAAATTGCTTTAGGGTTTCATGTGAACCAGTATTTTTTAAACTAGTACGAAATAGATAGAGCAAAACAGACTTTAGAATGAATTGCAAAAATGCATACTAAAAGCCAAACTAAATTGTAAGGAGCAAACAAAAATACTGCTAGATCAAAAAGAAAGAAGGAGATGGAAGTGACTGGTAAAGAACTATGTTTATTATAGATGCATCTTGAAATACAAAACAAGTTTGTCACTGCTCAGTGATCCAGCCAGTTGATGAGTGGATGTCCGTACTTGAGTCAGATTGAGCGCATGCCCCCCAAATCTGGCTCAAGTGCAACTACCGGATGACTCATTTTAGAAACAGAGGCAGGCACAGTGGAAAAACAGAACTGCTGACTGGTCTGTGAATTAGGAATCACAGATCACCAAAGATGCTTCCCTGTATCCTGTAAGAAATACTGTTTTCCCAAGAAAGATGCATCAGTTCTCGTTGCAAAAATACATAGTTATTCCCAAGACAGACTCAAATTGTTTCTTCACCAACACAACATTTCATATGCATCTCTGCTGTGGAGTTGCTGCTTGTCCTGCAGCTGATTACATGAAAGCATAAGCAGGAACATAATCCTCCTAGACAAAGTGGCTATAATGCAGGTTGGAAGCACTGGATATTAAAAAATCCAGATATAAAAGGAAAAGGGATTGGAGCTACCATGCTAAGTATGAATAGGAAAATTCTATTCATTAGACTCTGAATCTGAGACCTTCAAAATTTTGCCTTTAATCTCCTGCTCCCTCTGCTGGATTCTATCCACTTGTACTTTTCACTTAGCCTTCTGGGTCTTTTTCTTCTGAAATGTACGGACAACTGAACTACATGAAATAATGCACAGTTTATTGGAGGTTTATAATGTGGTCCAAAATTGTTACCTTTTTATAAAATGACAAACACGCAATAAAATGAAATACTGTCAAGTAATCAAAAGAAAACATACTGTAAACACTGATTAATAAAAATTCCCAAAAGAAAAATATTCATTTAATGCCATTAACATTGTAATAGAGGTATTTGTTGTTTAAAACCATTTAGTTAAAATGTAGACATAGAGCTTCTGCAAAAAAAAAAAAAAAAAAAATGACCTGAGTTGGAAAACAACCAGAAAATCAAAGAGATGCAGGCTCTCATCAGTTCTTCTCTTCATTACGAAAAGAGAATGAAAAATAACAGATCAACAAAAAAAACCCTCTCTAAGTCCAGGTAGGCTTTGCTGCAGTTCAGTGCTCAGCCCCAGGGCAGGAATGAGGAAAGACTCCACGCAAGTCAAAAGCTCTGCTGAAATCAAACAATTCTTCCTGTTGGCCCTTGGTCAACACAAGTTTCCTCAAACAGCCATGGAATGAGCTCTTGCTGGTGAGGCAGTTTTGCTTCACATCAGCTGAAAAACAAATAAACATGCAGAATCTATTTCTAGTGAACTAAAACAATACAAAGATCCAGGTTATTATTCAACTGCTTCCTCTCCCTCCCAAATGAGAGATAAAACCAACACCTGAGGAGTACCAAGTTCCATTCACATTTGGATGATCAGGGACATCCCACCATGGATAGTCAAGTGTAAGCCATGCACTGAGATAACCTGTGCAGAGTTTGTAGAAATAATTTCTCCCAGGGATAACAGGAGATAAGAGAGGGGAAAACAGAGGAGAAATCCACTCTACATAAGTGTCTTCAATGTTGAAATTGGAACTGGCATAATAGGAAGCAATAGCTGAGCTGTACAGAGTCATGGACTCCATTCACAAACCAAAACATGAGGTTGGTAATGTCCAACTCTTTTTGTCATACAAACTGTTGAAAAAATTCATTCCACTGCTGCAGTACTCAACTAAACTTGTCTTTGAACCCTAATCTTTACAAACGGAGCACTGAAAGAACAATTAGTATCACGTTACCCTATTTAAAAAAAAAAAAAAAAAGTTTTACAAGATGCTGATAAGGCCTCTTTGGTATTTGAGGAAGACCAGATATTAATCAAGATCTGGGTAATTAGCATTAATTCAATTTTCATAAAGCACCAAAACCTTGTCCAACAGAAGACTCTAACATTTCATGCTATTATCCCTTGAGTTTTCCAAATATTTAAAAGCTGAGTTTGCCCTTCAGACCTCATCACTGTTTTCACAGAAATGGAAATATCTGAACTGATAAACTCTAACAGCTGTTTCAGACACAAATATATATGGGCATTTTATGCTAGGTTTAAATGCATAAGATATTCAAAACCATACGAAGTCTATTCACTCCCAGTACTGATGTGTTCATGAAAATGTATACATGCAAAGAGGCCAAATTCATGACATTCAAAATTCAATCTTCTTAATGAATATATTGTCTTGGATCAAACTATCAACTAATGAGTTGCACAACTTAATTGAAAAGTAATTAAATTATATATTTTTTGTGTTACTATCTTTTCAGATTACCATTGTAGTATGATTGACAGAATTCAGAAGGGAATTTGCACAGAACAAGGGAAATATAAGTTCATTTTCAGCAGCTTGACTTCTGCCTGAACAGCCCCTGACTTGAAACATTGGCAAAAATAAAAGCAGAGATGAGCACTATAGAAATCTTACTTAGATGAATGCGAAGGAAAGCTTTAATATGAATTTGACTGCAAGAGAACCACACCTCAGCATACACAGGCAGGGACGTTGTGAAGCCTGAGAGAGACTGTGAAAGACAAACCGTATGGAGGAAATTGTTCCCAGAATCTAAGCAGCAGGTTTGTGTAGGAAAGTGATACGAGTTCAGCTGATCTTGCCAACACACTCAAGAACTAAATGCAGTCCTCCACAAAGACAGTATACACAAATATTAACATACTGTGATCTTAGTGACAATGTGGAAAATGGTAACTGATTTATAACTCCATCATGAACTTAATGAATCAGAGAGAGTGAGGGAAAGATATTGTGGGGGAAAGGGAGCGAGTGCATGTGTTAGAGTCATTCTTATAGGAGAGAGTAAGACCAGGAGGGAGACAAGGGAAGAGAAATATTATTGTACCTACCAGGATAGCCTCCAACATAAATGGGATTGTTTGTATCTGCAGATGTTGACTGGATGTAGGGATTATCAGTTTGAACCAAATTCCCATCAATTATCAGAGAAATGCCATGTTTGCTTTTGTTTGCTTGAAGTCTGTGCCATTTTCCATCACACAAACTATTCGTGCCTCTTGGTTCATATGTAGTTGTTATTCTGCCAGCTCCATTGTTGACATGGAATAAAACCTGTATAAACATCCAGATGCCAATAAAGATATAAAGTAAGAATACATGAACTAATTTGTCTAGATAACAGCACAATCATGCTGGTGCAGATATTTCTGTTTCAATAAATGTTTGATAATTACACAAAGCTGATGTTTACTTTGATGGATAGAGTGTGTCTTATTGAAGAGACTTAGATCTATCCATGCAGTGGTCCATTGGGTTAGCTTGGTATACTTCACTTGGAATTTCAATGTTTCTTACAAATACAAATCAAGTAATTTTCTCACAGAGGCTGAGACCAGATCTGAAAGAAGATCCACCATATCTAACTGATTAGAAAGAGAATGGACTGAAAGTACTTCTCATTGCCAATGCATGTATTGATTTATTTCATGTATTTCTTTTTCAAAGCAGCAGACATTTCCTCAGCTCTGTGGTGAGGATTAATATGCAAATATTAACTGTGAAAGTATGTCCCACAGAAACAGTGATATTTAACACTGTCTCTAGCTAGGAAGTTTTGAATAAAAAATGAGCTATTTCTGAGAAAAATAAATATTTAAGAGCAATCAAGTATGTATTTTTTATGCATGAGATAAATGGAGAACTATGTATTGATTGTTAAAAGGTTTATGAAGCATAATGGCTAGTAGAAGTAGCGAGTGAGTTAATTGCTCATGAAAATTGAAGAAGAGGTTACAAAACAGTGTGCTTTGTACATGCAATATGTTTATCAAGGACAAGTGTAGCTTTATGGCAGAAAAAGTATTAAGCTACAAGAAAAGTATATACAGGGCAGCCTACCTTGCCATTTACAATCTCCAGTCCAATGGCATCAACCTTAGCACTGCTGACCCCAAGGAGAACACCATTTACCACTGTTGTACGAAACTCCAGTGTGATGTTCACATCAGACCGCACTTTGTAACCTTCTCTGACTGAAAAGAAACCATAAGCTTTTAACAGAAGACTTGTAACCCACAGTAAAAAGTCCAATGCATACATTGCCACTAAAAGGCCTAAAAAACTTGTTAATTACTCTGCTGGGATACAACTTTGTGGAACATCGGGAAAGTAAGTTTTCCAAAGTCATAATTCACACTTTATATAGGAAGAGCTAAATTTTCAAATAAGTTTTCTTTTATTGCTTTAGATTTAATACATTCTATCTCATTTATAAGAAGCAGTAAAGAACACAAAAGTAATCCTTCATGTTATTTCACAAGTCCCCTACATCTTTTGTCTCCATAGTCTTTAACAGACCTTAACATCATGAACATGGATATTCTTAGCTGAAGAAAGAGGTAGTTCATTTCTTTCCCAGTGTGAGAATTATTAGCTCTTTCATTTGTAGAAGATAGTCTTTTGCACAAATGACCACTTTTGGACATATGGAGTAAAGGGACGCAGTTAGAAAAATATTTGCAGGGCATGCACTCTTTGTGTGAGGAGTCAATTAATTACACAGTTCCAGCAAGACCTAAAAAGAGTACATTTTCATTAACA